TGATGATGATGAGGGTGGTGATGATGATGACGATGATGGTGATGACGACGATGATGAGGGTGATGATGATGAAGGTGATGATGACGATGAGGGTGGTGATGATGAAGGTGATGATGAGGGTGGTGATGATGACGATGAGGGTGATGATGATGAAGGTGATGATGACGACGACGATGTTTGATGCCGACTTATAAGGCAGGAGGGAGGCTCCGTCAGTGGGGCGACAGTACAGCAGGTAGCTTGTTGTTGTTGCTTTGCAATCCGCTCTCTGCTGTGGAGTGTTTCAGTGTTGTCCACCCTTCCTTGTTGCGCGCGCGTGCGACTTTTGTCCAGGGAAGTCCACCACCACCACAACCACCACAACCACAACCACCACAACCACCACCACCACAACCACCACAACCACAACCTCTCTCCACCGTGGAACGCATCGCGAAGACCAACGAGCGATTCCACCCGCTGAGCCGCCTCCTCCGTGCGCTGTTCCCCGGGGTAGGATTGCTTCTCGCCGTTTGGTGATTCATCACGCGACATGAACTCCGTACAAAGAAACGTTTCTATACCCACGTGACTTTACCGAAAGAACCAAAGAGTATGGATTCGTGCAGTCACGAAAGCTTCAATTCAAGATGAAACGAGTAAAACTAAACACATTTGTTTAATAAAAAAATTTGGGTTAGGTCGCGTAAATGATATTAATGTGTCGTTAAACCGGCCACCACCCGACACAGCTGATTAGTAAGAAGCTGTCACGTCAACAAAACGTGTCACTAGCACAGCACTAACCGATTGTGTGTTGGAGAGCCAAGCCACAACATTTACAATCTGAGTACGACGTTTCGCCAGTAATTACAACTAGCAATCATCAGGCGCGCAGCCAAAACCTATATTATGGATGCTATCGATCGCGAAAGCCTGCGTGTTAAACTAATCTAATTTAATTTCACCAGGTTAAGGACCCGAACTGAGCTGGTATGTAGCTATTTCTTCAGAAGCGACTCTGGCCACCACGAAGTTTCGGCTTCTCGTCAACGTGTAGAGCTCTGCAGCAGCCACACCGGCTACACGCGTGGCGATGCCGACTCCAAATATGCGGAGGGAAAAACCGGAGGACCCCGAGACAAAAAACCACGCGACCACGGGGAGAGAGAGAGAGACACGCGAACGCCAAATATACAACGGGCGTCAGGTTCGAGATCGAACCCACGACCTCCTGTGTACCAGGCGAGGTAGTCAACATCTCCTAGCCACCGTGATGATGATGATAATGATGAGAGAGACACGCGAACGCCAAATATACAACGGGCGTCAGGTTCGAGATCGAACCCACGACCTCCTGTACACCAGGCGAGGTAGTTAACATCTCCTAGCCACCGCGGCGCCTCCATAGAGTGTGGGCGCGAGACTCGTGATGGTGATGATGTTGTGTGACGATGTGACGACGACGATGATGATGTTGTGACGATGTGATGATGACGATGATGATGCCGATGATGTTGTGTGACGATGTGGACGATGATGATGTTGTGTGACGATGTGGACGATGATGATGTTGTGTGACGATGTGACGACGACGACGACGATGATGACGATGATGTGACCTTTGGCTCGTTTGTTTGCAGGACCGCGATTCTGTTCCAGACGAATTGGAGTAGGGAGCGAGCGAGCGAGCGAGACGGGAGGGGTGGAGAGGGGGGGTGGGTGGTGCATGAGGAGGCGAAACATCACAACCCCCCCCGGCCCCCCAGAAACAACAACAAGCACCGCACGTCCCCCGTGTGATATGTTTGATATATTAGGTTGCTTCTTACGCACGCAACTATATATCAGACATATGCGTACGGTGGACGGGCCGAGTCAGCCTCCACGCCGGGGACTGCGGCCGGCGCGGTCCTCTCCGTCCCTCGTCCGCGTGGAGTTCGTCTTGCGCGTGTTTTTAAATCCTTTATATTAAGTTCACTTGCGTGCTTGCTTGCTTGCTTAGGACCGTGCAAATCTTTCGGTCGTTTTTTAACCCACTTCCCGTGATCCGATCGAGCTGACATTTTGCACACAGACTCGTTGTGCGTGACAATTAATTTTCGTGAAAAAATTTTTCCCAAAATTTTACACTGTTTAGGGAACAAAAATTTCAATATTTATTTACCAATTGGTTAATGCTGGCACACAATCATCTGACCCATAGGTGGCAGCCATCTCAAGCCAGAGGACGAGAGGACTCTAGCCGCCACGCATATAAAGGATTTATAGTGAAAAACTTAGTTTTTACGGGTTAATTTTTTAAATCCTTTATATTAAGTTCACTTGCTTGCTTGCTTAGGACCGTGCAAATCTTTCGGTCGTTTTTTAACCCACTTCCCGTGATCCAATCGAGCTGACATTTTGCACACAGATTCGTTGTGCGAGACAATTGATGTTCGTGAAAAAAAATCTCCAAAATTTTACATTGTTTAGGGAAAACAAATTAAATATTTAATTACCAATTGTTTAATACTGGCAGACAATCATCTGACCCATAGGTGGCAGCCATCTCAAGCCAGAGGACGAGAGGACTCTAGCCGCCACGCATATAAAGGATTTATAGTGAAAAACTTAGTTTTTACGGGTTAATTTTTTAAATCCTTTATATTAAGTTCACTTGCTTGCTTGCTTAGGACCGTGCAAATCTTTCGGTCGTTTTTTAACCCACTTCCCGTGATCCAATCGAGCTGACATTTTGCACACAGACTCGTTGTGCGTGACAATTAATTTTCGTGAAAATTTTTTTCCAAAATTTTACACTGTTTAGGGAATTTTTTTAAATATTTATTTACCAATTAGTTAATGCTGGCACACAATCATCTGACCCATAAGTGGCAGCCATCTCAAGCCAGAGGACGAGAGGACTCTAGCCGCCACGCATATAAAGGATTTATTGTGAAAAACTTTGTTTTTACAGGTTAATTTTTTTAGTTTTCTTTTCATTTTCTGCCGAGGGCAACTCATCGGTGTGCGGGTTTCCGCGCTATTGTCGGCGTCGACTAAAGTTCGCTCGAACGCCGCCGGTTGTTCGATGCGGGGTCTTCTTCATCCTCATCCTCCTCCTCGTCATCGTCTTGTCGTACGGCTTCTGCTGTGGAATGCCGCAGAGCGACAAACTTGGCAATGTTCACGGTCAAGGGGGTCAAGGTGGGTCAAGGGGGTCAAGGTGGTCAAGGTGGGTCAAGGGGGTCAAGGTGTTCTTCTTGGTTCTTTCGGTAAAGTCACGTAGAAGGGAAGTAATAAAACAATAAAAATAAAACACAATAAAAAGGGGTCAAGGTGGTCAAGGTGGGTCAAGGGGAGTCAAGGGAGTCAAGGTGGTCAAGGGGGTCAAGGTGGGTCAAGCCGGCGGGCAACCCGCGTCACGAGCAGCAGCGGGGCGGCACACGCCGTGACGACTTCTCTCTTCGCGCTTGCGGATCGAGAGGGGGCATTGCGTCGCGAGGGGTCTCTCCGTTCCGCATGGAGAGATTTTGAACGTTCCACTCGTGCGTCGTCATCATCAGCTCGTCCGCACTTGCTGCTGCTGCCGCCACGGTGTGAGCAGTGGGTGATGCGGGTTGAGGGGTTGGACCATGAGGCCGCTTCGTGGGAGCTCAAACCCCCGGGGATCTTCTGCGTTGGGTTCCTCGTAGCGAGCTGGCGCTAGGAGATGTTAACTACCTCGCCTGGTGTACAGGAGGTCGTGGGTTCGATCCCGACCCTGAGAATGCCAGCTGCTGCTGCATATTTGGAGTTTGTGTGTGTCTCTCTCTCTCTCCCGGTGGTCACGTGGATTTTTTTTCCGTGGAAAAAAAAAAGAAGAGAGATATGTAGCTCATCGGATTCCTCCAGTCCAAAGATTCTGATAAAGATTCTGATTCTGAATGTGCAGCCCCGAAATTGCTTATGTACGTTGTGTGTATGTTGTGTTTTGTATGTGTCTATGTTGGACTTGTATGTAGCCAAACCGTGCTAATCGGGGGGGGGGACACACACACACACAAACTACGTCGCTCTTGTTCAGAAGCGACCTGGCCATCAAAAATGATCGCTCAATAAAGCGGCTTGACATCGGTGGGAAATTTATAGCAGCCAAATTACTCTAAACGCACCACGGGGAAAGGGAGAACGCGCAAACTCCAAATATACAGCAGCAGCAGCAGGCGTCGGGGTTGAGTTCGAGCCCACGACCTCCTCCATACCAGGCGACGTAATCGACATCTGGCGAGATGTCTCTTAACGTGACCAAAGCCCCCACCGAGTCGGCCAAGCGTTGCGTGCAGAGGAGTTTATAAATCGGCGCACGAAGGCGCCTCGCTTTCTAGCGGCAACGGCGTCATTGGAATCCCAGCACGCTGGCGCGCGTCAGGACGACGCCACCTTTTTAAATCCTTTATATTAAGTTCACTTGCTTGGTTGCTTGCGCGCTTACGACCGTGCAAATCTTTCGGTCGTTTTTAACCCACTTCCCGTGATCCAATCGAGCTGACATTTTGCACAGACTCGTTGTGCGTGACAATTTATTTTCGTGAAAATGTTTTTCCAAAATTTTCCACTTTTTAGGAATTTTTTTTTCATATTTAATATAAAATACTAATGTGATAAAAATGAAACTCTTACTCAAGAAAAACAGAAATGAATAATAAAATAAAACCGATGCCTCGCATATAAAGGATTTAGTGAAAAACTTTGTTTTTATGGGTAAATTTTTTACTCTGCGCTCATTTCGTTACGAAGCCACACGTGGAACGTCAGCGGCGACGTCGCCCTGCTCGACATTTGACGCACATGCTGCTGGGATTCTAAGATAAGATTTTGCCACCGAAGAAAAAAAAAACCGTGGTAGTTCCCACAGAAGCCCCCCCCCCCCACCCAGCTTGCGGGGACGAAACGTCGGACATTCGTGACGACGTACGGACCCGAGGGCTGTACAACTCCGTACGCGAAAACGCGTGCAGCAGCAGAACGCACACAATGGACAGACAAGTGTGTGGCACCAGATAAAAAAAGTTCTTTATTTGTTCTCAACAATTATAATACAATCATCTCACCAGCGCAGCAGCCAACGTCGCACTGCGGCAGTGAGAACGGAGTGGAATTCACCTCCACGTGGCCACCACGAGCCAGCGGCGGGAAAACCCCAAGGGAATTTTTTTTGGCAAGGGGTCGTCCCGCGTGGCTGTCCATCCGCCGTTGACACTCGCTTTAAGTCGACCCCGAAGGGACGATTAGGCAGCTGACCAGCGCCGCGTGAGAGCCGGGCGACCTCTGGCCAGTGGACACTCCAAAAGTCAAAACATGCAAGCAAATAACGTGCACGCGTTTGAAAACACAAAAGTATTCCGTTCACTTTTTAAAGCCTCGAGCAAATCGGGCGAGCGAAACTTCACGTCTTCCGCCAAGCAAACGATTCTGTTTCGTCACGTTGCACACGGCTTCGCCGTTGTGGCAACATTTGCCAAAGGTATAAACACAAAACTATACACGGGCGTTCTTACATTAATTATATACAAGACATTCAAAAAAACAAGTGACCATTCCGCAATCGTATTTTTGTACGCCACGGTCTTGGATTTGCAAGGTGGATGCATCTTACACGAACGGCAGTGCGTCAAAAATAATTCCCACGCGCCAACAAAGCCAACGGTTTGCATTGGGATAACGGTCCGTCGGCACCCCCCAAATCAAATGCCGGAAATTCTACGCTCCTATGACGAGGACCGGGGGGGGGGGGTTCATAGTCCGAGTATCAACATTGGCAGTCCGGTTTCTGCAGATCGTCGGGTGTTTATTGTGCAGGGTGTAAGGTGTTCGTGGTGCAGGGAGTAAGGTGTTCGTGGTGCAGTGTGTAGGGTTTCGTGGTGCAGCATGGAGCGTGTTCATGGTGCAGTGTGTAGGGTGTTCAAGGGGCAGGGTGCTGATCGACGTTGTGCTCAAGTGGAATGCATCATGAACAACATCTGATACAGGGAACAAACAAATTAACTCGATACAAAATTGACAAACTATGTATTTTATAATCCCTTTCATAGATTTTTAATCGTGAATAATTGTTTGAAAGTTTGTGTACCTTTAATTATTATGTTGCAATGTTACATGTAAAGCGTTGGGGTTGCTTTATCGCAAAGGGGGCGCCCGCTGCATTAAATAAAGTTTGATTGATAAACGCAAGCTCCGTACACAAGATGTGCTCGTTTTATTAATCCCCAGCCGTTTTATCCGCTTGGGGGCGATGAGCGAGTGGATGTTTTACGCAAGTCAGTTGCGCGCCAGTCGGCGTGGCAATGTGTGCGCGAGCACTCCAGCGAGCGCTAATACGCGTGTGTGTGAGAGAGCATGCGTTGGTGCGCGAGGGTTTGAGCGAGTGCATGCGAGTGTAGGGCATGCGAGAGTGAGAAGGTGAGTGAAGGGACAGGCGAGTGCTGCGGGCGAGTGCTGTGGGTTAACCCCTCTCCCGTGGCCCAGATGACTGCAAGTTGCAGGGTGGGGTGTCCCCGCTTCACCGCTGAATCTTGGAAACGCGCAAGCGATTCAGCGCTAATTTTACTTAGAGGCATAGCGTCGGGTTTTATTTTTCAAGACGTTACTCACCGCAGAGAACTGTAGCGACACGACCGCCGCACTCTACGATAGCTGGCAGCAACACTGTGCCTCACGCCCTCCCCGCATGGCCTTGTGGGAGCATCTGTACCGATAAAGTTATTCTATTTTGGTTTTTCTTCTGGGTTAGGTTAAGAGTGTGCGAGGAGAATCAACGTCACGCGTTTGGAGTAATTGGCTGCTATAAATGTCCCACGTGAGAAGCCGCTTCGCGTTGAGGTATCATTTGTGGCCAGGTCGTTTCTGAAAAAGAGCCACATAGCTCAGTAGGCCTGACCTGCTAAAAAAGTTTTGTTTAGTTTCTACTGTAGTTTAGTTGATAGAATGAGCGAGTGGGTGAGCGAGTTGGTGAGCGAGTGGGCGAGCGAGTGGGCGAGCGAGTGGGCGAGCTCGCGGTGATGGGAACACGACAGTTTGTGGACAGAGAGAACGGAGATGGGGTACGGGTCGTGGGGGGGGTCACAACCTTTGACCCGTTCCTCTGTAATGTGGCGCAGGGGACGGCGTTGACCCGGCAGCCTCCTCCTCCAGGTGGTAACGGCACACGGGGCACGTGGCAGACTGCCGAGGGAGGGGAGGAGGAGCGTAGCAAAAATGAACCACACTCACCCGGGGACGCAACTCGTCACGGGCAACTCCCAAGTATCGAGGCCGCTCTATGCTGATGCAAGCCAAGGGCAGCGCTCACAAGGGCAGCGCTCAACTTCAACACAATTCCGGCGATGGGAATTCCACATTTCTATGACGGCTGGGGGGGGGGGGGGGGGCAATTTTTCCATTGCCCAAACATCAACTCTTGGTTTCCAAAACAGCAGTGCTTATTTTATCTACCAGTGAGAGATGATGGGCCGCGATTAAGGAGTTTCAAGCTTGCAACATTTTGAAGTGAAAATCCCCATGGGGTTATTTGCAAGTGTACGCGCATGGGGTTTAAGTCCCGAGCGGCCTCTCAAGTGGTTCAAAACAAAGATCTCAGTAGTGGCCATCACACAAAGACGGTGGCCACCGCATCGCGCGGCGCTTTCAGATGCGCTTCTGCGGCCGTCTGGAACGCTCTTCCTTTCGATATTTGGAAGCTGCTGGGAGCTGTGTATTTTTTAATCTTCTAGACTGAAGACTCATTTCTTTAACAACTGCTCTGTGTTTTAGTTTGGTGTCCTTCTCCCGCACCTCCGACACACAAACATACATGTACACACGCTCCCTGTTACGATTGTTGCAATGGAATCACTCAAGTATCTATAAATATAAAAAACTAAAAGAGTTTGTGCAAGGCTACCTTCTTGAGCCACTGCTCGATGCAGGACGTGTGGAAGAGATGGCAGCAGGGCAAGGTAGTGGCTTGATCTGTGCGCACAAACTCGCTGCAGCAAATGGTGCAGATCTGCTCCAATACTGGTTTTTTGGGTAGGAGACAAAATAGCAGCAGCAACAAGTCAATCCACGGGCAGACTTCGTCGAAGCGTTGACAAACTTCTCCGACGGGCGTGTTACCAACGCGTCTCACCGTCCACTCGCGCGGCACGGCGGGATCGGTCCCCGCGCAGGAATTCGTCCGTCCAGTGTCAGTGATAATCCGCCCTCTCGTTTCACTTTCTTATCTTGGCGGAATTTAAATAGCGTCTTAACCGGGGCACTTTACAGAGAATTAAGAAGGGTACGTAGAAATGTAATTGGTGGAGGTGAGGTGAACAAAACAGATGAGAGGAAGCAATGGGGGGAACATCTGTGATGATGCGTGAATTCGGTAAAAGCGAAAATTGATGACAGTGAATGATGATGAATGGATTGGTTGTCGCATCGTACGTAGCCAACCGTGCTAATCGGTGAAACAGTGTTAGTCTATGGGCAGTGTTGAGTCTATGGGCAGTGTTGAGTCTATGTGCAGTGTTGAGTCTATGGGCAGTGTTGAGTCTATGGGCAGTGTTGAGTCTATGGGTAGTGTTGAGTCTATGGGCAGTGTTGAGTCTATGGGCAGTGTTGAGTCTATGGGCAGTGTTGAGTCTATGGGGCAGTGTTGAGTCTGTGGGCAGTGTTGAGTCTGTGGGCAGTGTTGAGTCTGTGGGCAGTGTTGAGTCTATGGTGCAGTGTTGAGTCTATGGGCAGTGTTGAGTCTATGGGCAGTGTTGAGTCTATGGGCAGTGTTGAGTCTATGGGCAGTGTTGAGTCTATGGGCAGTGTTGAGTCTATGGGTAGTGTTCAGTCTATGGGCAGTGTTGAGTCTATGGGCAGTGTGAGTCCAGTGTTGCAGTCTATGGGCAGTGTTGAGTCTATGGGCAGTGTTGAGTCTATGGGGCAGTGTTGAGTCTGTGGGCAGTGTTGAGTCTATGGTGCAGTGTTGAGTCTATGGGCAGTGTTGAGTCTATGGGCAGTGTTGAGTCTATGGGCAGTGTTGAGTCTATGGGTAGTGTTGAGTCTATGGGCAGTGTTGAGTCTATGGGCAGTGTTGAGTCTATGGGGCAGTGTTGAGTCTATGGTGCAGTGTTGAGTCTATGGGCAGTGTTGAGTCTATGGTGCAGTGTTGAGTCTATGGGCAGTGTTGAGTCTATGGTGCAGTGTTGAGTCTATGGTGCAGTGTTGAGTCTATGATGCAGTGTTGAGTCTATGTGCAGTGTTGAGTCTATGGGTAGTGTTGAGTTTATGTGCAGTGTTGAGTCTATGGGTAGTGTTGAGTCTATGTGCAGTGTTGAGTCTATGGGTAGTGTTGAGTCTATGGGCAGTGTTGAGTCTATGGTGCATGTTGAGTCTATGGGCAGTGTGGAGTCTATGGGCAGTGTTGAGTCTATGGTGCAGTGTTGAGTCTGTGGGAAGTGTTGAGTCTGTGGGCAGCGTTGAGTCTGTGGGCAGCGTTGAGTCTGTGGGCAGCGTTGAGTCTGTGGGCAGCGTTGAGTCTATGGTGCAGTGTTGAGTCTATGTGCAGTGTTGAGTCTATGGGTAGTGTTGAGTCTATGGTGCAGTGTTGAGTCTATGTGCAGTGTTGAGTCTATGGGCAGTGTTAGTCTTATGTGCAGTATGTATGTTGAACTTATTTCGCACCGCAAGTAGCCAACCGTGCTAATCAGAGGTGCAGGGGTGAGTGTGTGGGTGAGTGTGTGGGTGAGTGTGTGGGTGTGTATGTACATATGAAGGAGGCTCGTGAAAGACGCTCCTGGGCAGTCGCTCGTCAAGAACAACCGAAGGCGGAGGAGCGACGCTCACAACAACGAGCGACGTGCCGGGCGGATGAAATGCAGCAAGTTGGCACAGTAGGAGGTACAGCTGGTGCATCTACCGGTCATCTGGGTCAGCCAACCCATGGCACCTGGGTCTGCTCCGTGACCTCCTGTCAGCAAGCCTTCGACACTTTACGTGGCCTAAAAGTGCACCTGGCCTGGCACAGGCGCCGTGGTGACGTCACTGTCACTCGTGGCAAATGGCGGGTATTGGTGTGTATGTTAAACTACTTTCGCACCGTATGGAGCCAACCGTGCAAATCGGAGGTGCGGGGAAGGTCAACAACGTGGAGAGTGGTTGGTGGCAGATACCATCGTCATTGATGAAGAAGACAGGCAGACTCGACGTGAGCTCGCTGGAGGCCGGGGTAGGCTGGAATTGAATCCCAGTGACGTCGCCGATGAGGGTATTCAGGTTAGCAACGATACTCTGCGTGGACAACGATAAGAAAAACAAAGAACCCTCAGAATAGTCTTAACAGACTGTCGGGGAAAGTGCTGTTATAGCGAGCACTTACGAAGGCCAGCACGGCACACGAACGGGGTGTGGGTCGCCAGCACCACGCCCGGCCCTCTGTCTCCCCTGTGGTGATGTTTGCACACTGTGTCAGGGTCGACCAAGGGGGAACACCAGGACCGGTTGAAATAATCGTCACTGGTGAGGGCCGTGAGGCAGGAATCGAACTCGGGTCGCCAGATGGTTATCGGAATTTTTGAGGCTCCCACAAGGCCATGGGGGAGGGCGCGTGGCACAGTTTGGCGCCAGCTATCGTAGGATGCGGTCGTACTGCTACGGTTCTCCGCGGTGATGTACAATGTCTTTAAAAAACACAACGGTGCTATGCCTCTATAAATACAATGAAGGCTGAACCAGTTGCGCGTTCCGAGATTCAGCGGTGAACGGGACCCCCCGCCATCCGCAAGTTGCAAGACGTCTCGGACCGGGAGAGGCTTAAGGGTGTTAATGGCCAATCAGTGAGCGCTTACACATGGCAGAAGACTGGAGCTCCCGGGAGAAAACCCAACCCACGCGTGTGTGCTTACCTCAATGGCAGACAGCCGATCTTCCAAAGGCAAGAGAGGAAAACGTCCCGGGTTGAAGACCTCGGCTTCCAGACTGAAATGAGCACAAAGACAAAGATCCCCCCCCCCCCCCCCCCATATAGCTTGAGTCGACTGCTGGGGCAAGTGCTATTATAGCGAGGAGCACAGCACGTATGATGGCTGGAACTGTGGCACACAGGGGGGTGGGTGGCCAGCACCACACCCCGCCGCCTTGGTCCCCAAGTAGCGATGTTTACTGCATGCCGCACCAGGTACTCATTTGAGGCCGAGTCGACCTAGGGGAGGCTCAGGACCTATTTAGATAGCGAGCGGGAATCGAATTCGGGTCGCCGGGTTCGTAGCGCAGTGTGCTAACCAATGCACCACCGCTCCTCACATGCACACGAACGCATTGTTTACTACTGTATACTTTACTATAAGACTGCTTCTCTACAATCAACTAAGAATGCTCTACAACTGTAAGAGATCACATTACGTCTTATATTACGTAGGCTTAGTTCCCTTCTTGAAAAGTTTCATGTACTTGGAAAATTTGGTGACACAGGGACGAGATGTTAACTACCTCGCCTGGAATACAGGAGGTCGTGGGTTCAATCGCGACCCTGATGCCTGCTGCTGTATATTAGGAGTTTGCGTGTCTCTCTCTTTCTCTCCCCGTGGTCGTGTGGATTTCTCTCTGGCTCCTCCCGTTTCATTTCCCCCCTCCACATTTGGAATTGACGTCACGCGTTTCGACCATTCGGCTGTCCATTTCCCGCGTGACCACGATGATGAGCCACTTCGCCGAGCTGTCATTTGCGATGGGCAGGTCGCTGCTGAAAAGGGCTACATATCTCAGTGGGACTTACCTGGTAACACAAAATAGTTTAGCCGAATAGTTTATTCTAACATCCATTTTACCATTAAATGAGAGGAAATGTACGCGGCAGACACTAGAAATTATACAATCGATTCTTGAATAGAAATATTAGGGAAATCTCACAAACTGTTAACAGTTCAACAGTTTAGTTTTGGTGAACAATGAGTTTCACTCTCCGATAACCGTCATATATTAAACGGATCATTTGCTACACGTTAAAAAATATACAAATCTCTCACCTGAAGTCGGACACAAACTCGTTGGTGGCCATTGCCGTGTCTGCGGAATTGAAGAAAAAGGCCTCCCCCTCCGAGGCATCATCGTCATCATCGTCACCGTGACCGTCATCAGCATCATCATCATCATCGCGGTCGGCGCCACCACCATCGCCTTCGTCGTCACCGTCGTCGCCGCTCAAGCGCAGCTCCTCTTCACGCAGCACCCACGGTGGCGGCCGCTGCAGGAGATTCCTGAGCGGGAGAGAGACGGTGGAGGGGGGGGGGGGGTGCCGGGTGTTAATTCGGCGTCGTTGGCGACAAGACGGCCTGCACAGATTGAGTGACGTTGCCTAGTCTCTGGATTTAATATGGTCATTCGGCCTGTTAAAATGATGGGACCGTGGAATTGCCAGTCCACCAGATCATCCCCACGCACGGCATGGGTTTTCTCCGGGCAATCCGAATTTGTCCCACGTGATGCCAACGATTTAACTGGCCAAGCACCCCAACGCGAGATCCTCCCAACAAACGGTGAGGCTTTTTTACTCTTAGAGTTTTTCGGTAAAGTCACGTAGGTAAAAATAAACAATAAAAATAAATAAAATAAATAATATAAATAATGTAAATAATAATAAATACACTGCACTTAATACAGTAAATTCAGCTGTGACGGTCCCACCTGATGACGGAGACTTGTGTTGCCTCCGAAACGTCGTGATTTAATATTTTATTTCTATTTGTGATTTCCAATATATTTATTATTTATGTTTATTATTTATTTTATACTTTTTATTTTCATTATGTATTTTTATTATTTATTTTTACCTACATGACTTTACCGAAAACACCTAAGAGTACGAATCCTTGCAGTCACGAAAGCTTCAAATCTAGGCGAGGCTTTTCCTCGGCAAGATGCTGGCACCTCCGATTAGTACGGTTGGCTACGTACGTTTGGCGAAAGACGTTCAACGCACGTGCGCGCGTGCGTACGTGCAGACGGGGCGGGCGCAAAAGCATCGGAAAAAAAATCTCCTACCTCAAGCCTTCTTCGGCGAGGGCGCCGACATCGACGAAGGAGGCGTCGTTCACGGACGTGGTTTCTCCCTCCGACTCGTCGCCGTCGTAGTCGTCGCCATTGAAGAGCTCCTCCAAGGAGCCGTCAACGCTCGACATTTGCAGGAAGGGTTGCCTTGCGGAGGAAGAACAACACAGACGCGTGAGAGACGCGCGAGTAATGCGCACGCGTGCGGTTTACAAGGGTAAAAGAGGCGGCCACCGACGCTGGCGCGGGCCGTGTCTCTGGACAAAACTTGACGCCAGAAACAACGCAAAGGAAGCCTCGTGATGTAGATGCTCACCCCGAGCTCTCATTACTCTGATAGTGCGTTGTCTTTGAACTGTGCGCCTTTTGGCGTCATCTGGTCGAGGACCATTTGAGACTAGGCTCTAAGAAAAGCTGCCTCTGGTGTGGACCAATCAGTTTCAAGGACAATGCATAAATTATCAGAGTATTGTTTTTTGTTTGCATTTGACTGCAAGTATTGTGGTTAATGTAAGCATGATTCCTTGCAAAAGGTGTCAGTTTTGTTGCCAGAAAAAAGAGGAAAAACCCTGTTAGTATATTTTGGTACTGGCAAAGGAGGCCTCGTGATGATGAAGTATATTGTACGCGGCAATCTCGTGAATATTCATGGTGTTGTGTGCACGCATACATTAATATATGTTCAACTTGCTTGAGAACCTGGATTAACTACAGGTAAGTAACAGTAGGGTGAGTGTGCGAGCGAGTGCAGGGTGAGTGTGTGAGCGAGTGCAGGGTGAGTGTGTGAGCGAGTGCAGGGTGAGTGTGTTTGAGTGTAGGGTCAGTGTTTGAGTGTAGTGTAAGAGTGTGTGTAAGGCGAGTGTGTTTGTGAGTGAAGGGTCAGTGTGAGTGAAGGGTGAGTGCGTGAGTGTAGGGTGAGTATGTGTGTAGGGTGTGTGTGTAGGGTGAGTATGTGCGTAGGGTGTGTGTGTAGGGTGTGTGTGTGTAGGGTGAGTGTAGTGTGAGTGTGTAGGGTGTGTGTGTGTGTAGGGTGAGTGCGTGTAGTGTGAGTGTAGTGTGAGTGTAGGGTGAGTGTAGTGTGAGTGTAGTGTGAGTATAGTGTGAGTATAGTGTGAGTGAGTAGGGTAAGTGCGTGAGTGTAAGGTGAGTGTAGCGTGAGCGAGTGTAGGCTAACTGTGTGCGAGTGTCGGGCGAGTGTGTGTAAGGGGAGTGTGTGAGTGCAGGGTGTAAACGAAAACTCGGCCTCAGGGTTTCCAAACACAGGGACTCTGCGGTGCGGGCTTAGTGTCAGTAATAAAAAAAGAGCTTCATAGCTCATCGGATTCCTCCAGTATGAATAAATATTGCGACCGCGTGAACGTACAAAGCACGGTGGTAACTGTTGATCGCGAGCAAGAGAGCCAAGTTGTTATCGTAGTCGTCATCATCATCATCAAAGTCATCCAAGTCATCCATGATGATGTGGCCCCGTTCGATGATATCATCGGCGTCATCGTAGTCGTAGTCCATGTAGGAGATGCTGTTGCTGCTGCTGCTGCTGCTGCTGCTACTGCTCCCGCTGATGAAGGGGACCCGCTGATCCGAGAGGGAGAACGTCTCCCAGCTCGAGTTGTCCGAGTCGCGCCCGTCGCCATCCTCCACTCCACTGTGCGACGCAGCGGCACACGCACACAAAGATCCCCCGTATAGCTTGCAACAGACTGTTGGGGCAAGTGCTGTTAGCAGTCGCACCTACAAAGGCTGGTATGGCACACGAGGAGGTGGGTTGCCAGCGCCACGCCCGACCGCCTTTGTCTCCCCAGTGGCAATGTTTTTAACACCACACCAGGTACTCAATTGAGGCCAAGTCGACCTAGGGGAGGCCCAATTGTCACTGGTGTTGGCTGCGAGTGGGAATCGAACCTGGATTGCTGGGTTCATAGCGCAGCGCACGAGCCGCTACACTACCGCTCCCAACAGCAGCACAAAGACAAACACTGTTAATCTATATTCTTGGTTCTTTCGGTAAAGTCACGTAGAAGGGAAATAATAAAATAATAAAAATAAAACATAATAAAATTTAATTATCATGACGTTTCGGCCACAACGCAAGCAGCCGTCCTCAGGTGAAGAAACAGAACACTGTTAATCTACTCGACACTGTGCAATGTGCGTGTTTGTGGTGTGCGAGTGGCGTGTGTGCGCGTGACGTTGATGTGTGCGTGTGCCGTGTGCGTGTGCCGTGTGTGTGTGCCGTGTGCGTGGGCCGTGTGCGTGTGCCGTTGATGTGTGACGTGTGCGTGTGCGTGTGCCGTGTGCCGTGTGCGTGTGCCGTTGATGTGTGACGTGTGCGTGTGACGTGTGCGTGTGCCGTGTGCGTGTGCGTGTGACGTGTGCGTGTGCCGTGTGCCGTGTGCGTGTGCGTGTGCCGTGTGCGTGTGCCGTGTGCGTGTGGCATGTGCGTGTGGCGTGTGCCGTGTGACGTGTGCGTGTGACGTGTGCGTGTGCGTGTGACGTGTGCGTGTGACGTGTGCGTGTGACGTGTGCCGTGTGACGTGTGACGTTGATGTGTGCGTGTGCCGTGTGCCGTGTGCCGTTGACGTGTGCGTGTGCCGTGTGCCGTGTGACGTTGACGTGTGCCGTGTGCCGTGTGCCGTGTGCGTGTGCGTGTGGCGTGTGCGTGTGGCGTGTGCGTGTGGCGTGTGCCGTGTGGCGTGTGCCGTGTGCCGTGTGCCATGTGCGTGTGACGTGTGCCGTGTGCCGTGTGCCGTGTGACGTGTGCGTGTGCGTGTGACGTGTGACGTGTGCCGTGTGACGTGTGACGTGTGCGTGTGACGTTGATGTGTGCGTGTGCCGTGTGCCGTGTGCGTGTGCCGTGTGCGTGTGCCGTGTGCGTGTGCCGTGTGACGTGTGCGTGTGCCGTGTGACGTTGACGTGTGCGTGTGCCGTGTGACGTGTGCCGTGTGCATGTGCCGTGTGCCGTGTGACGTTGATGTGTGCGTGTGACATGTGCGTGACGTGTGCCGTGTGCCGTGTGCGTGTGCCGTGTGCGTGTGCCGTGTGCCGTTGATGTGTGCGTGTGACGTTGATGTGTGCGTGTGACGTTGATGTGTGCGTGTGACGTTGATGTGTGCTCGTGTTCACCTGCTGTCTCTGTCCGACTCGGGCGACATCTGAGCCCACGGAGTGAGCAGGGACAACAAGATGGATGCCGATCCGTCCCTGTCGGCAGCCCCGTTGCTTCTAGCTTCCCCTCCGCTTCTTGCTTCACCATGGCCGCTTCTGGCTTCTCCACGACTGCTTCTCATTTCTCCAATGCTTCCGATTCCTTCAAAGTTTCTCTTTTTCCTGCAGCTTCTCGCTTTTCCTCGGCTTCTTGCTTCCCCGTTACTGCTCCCCGCTTCCCCGCTGCTTTCATCATCCCCACTGCTTCGTTCTCCCCTGCTGCTTGTCGCTTCCTCGCCGCCTCTTGCTTTTCTGCTGCTGCCTCTTGGGTTTGCATTGCGTCTCTTTTTTCTGCTTATGTTGACTTCTCTGCTCCTGCTTCTCGTTTCCCTACTGCTGCTTCTTGCTGCCCTAGTACTCATCTTCATCTTGCAGCGTTGTCCATCGCCAACAATTCTCTCTCCTTTGCTACTGCCGCTTACGATTCCCCCAACAGTGCTCGCGTTTCCGATTCTGCATCTCGCTTCCCCGTTGCTATTTCTTTCCTCTCTGCTGCTGCTTCTCGATTCTCGGACGTTTCTCTCTTTCTTTGTGCCTCCAATTCGTCCACAGCTGCTTCTCCCAACTCTGCCGTCCCTTGCATCCCTGCTGCTGCTTCTTGCTTCCATACAGCTTCTGGTTTCCCTGAAACCCCCCTTCTCTCTGCCGCGTCTCGCTTCTCGGCCGCTACTTGCTTCACCAGCACCTTGTCTTGTTTGCTGGAAGCTGCGTCCCGCTTCGCCGCCACTTCCCGCTTCTTTCTCCGGACGTTCCTCCGAAGCAGCAGTTGTGGCGGTAGCGGCGGCGGCAGCAGCAACAGCCGCCTCAAACATCGACCTGAAACCAGAAACGTCACAACCGCTGCTGCTGTCTTCGTTTGAAGATCTGCTGCGCTTGCTACATTTCTCTCGGACTTTCGGGATAGCGCCACCAGTAACGGCAGCAGCTGCGCCTGCAGAAGCAGCAGCAGCGGCGGTAGCTCCATCCCTCGCGACTCTGCTGCGAGTGGAGCGTCGAGTAGGCTCCCGCTTGTTAACGGCGAGCTCGCAATCTTCGTCGCTGTCGTATTGACCGCGAGGATGCTCGCCGGCGTAGCAGCGACCCCGCAGATCTGTCGGCAAACACGGTCGTGGTTCCATTATCTGGGCTCGTGGGGGCAAGGGGGTGGCCCCAATAAAACAAAAACAATCAAAAATACGTGTTGACTGAGCAATATAAACATCATACACTGTTTATCTACGCAGAATGGGGGTGAAAACAAAGAATGCGCCTTCTGTTTTAATGATTGTTAGAGTAATCAGTTTATTGCCGACGTGTTCGCAGTCACGTGGGCACCGAGTCACCTTTACCCGAGGGATGCACCTTTTATTTTTACCATCTATTAAACCTTCTCCCCCCCCCTGCTCCCCACCCTTTTCCAGCTCCCTCTCTACCCCCCATTATGCTAGTTATCTTACCCCTCATCCTCCCCTCCCCACAAAAGCTTTAATGTTCCCGCTCACAAAGGACCTGCATTTTACCCTCCGTTAAACCCTGGCGCCGATTTTGGGATTTTTTTCTTAATTTTATTTTATGTTGCCGAGTGATATACAGGGCCTAGATAGAGCGTGTTGCTGGCTGGTTAGCTCACTTGGTTAAAGCGTGGTGCTAATAACGCACAGGGCACGGGTTAGATTCCTGTACGGGGCCATGTGGTAGTTATTTTAATATTTGTATTTTTGTTTATCAAATTAAAACATTACAATTATTCATCATTAGAACCCTACCTCCTGCAATGGGAAATTGTTCATATGCAAATTTCACATGCACCGATTCGAAAAAAGTCCACGTTTGAAAATTCCCTTCACGTGCACCACCCAAATTCCCCTCCGCCTGCCTTTCCTCTCGCACACTCAGGAACACAGCGCACCTGACTCGTCGCGCCCTCGTCTCACGTGTGACGCAGTGGTGGCGGTGGTGGCGGTGGCAGCGGGAGATGTAGAGATCCCGTCACGGGGCGGTGACGGCGGATGAGGCGACGCTGGTGTTGCCGTCTCGGCGTCGGGGGCTACCCGCTCGGGCCGGAAGCCAACGTACGCGTGCCGGCGTCCGTAGCGGTGGCCGCTCAGCGTGGTGTGTCGTGCCGAAGATGCCGGCTTCACATACTGCTGCCCCATGGCCGCTACCGACGGCTGCTGCTGCCGATACTGCAACTGGGGGTACAGGCCAAGGGCATCAAGTTCGAGAGGTTATCACCGACTTGCGACTGCTGTCTCTCGATGCCAGATCTCGCAGCGACGCATGGACGTAAGTTGAACTTCTTTCGCACCAGACGTAGCCAACAGCTCTAATCGAAGTGCGGGGAAAGGACAACAAACTAAACACAACATTAAGTTCTAAAGAAATGAGTTCGTCAACCTAGATGATTTCAAAGTGCCATAGCTCCCAGTGGCTTTCTAATATCGGAAGTTTGAGCGTTCCAGGCGGCCGCAGAAGCGAATCTGAAAACGCCGCGCGATGCGGTGGCGACTCTCTTTGCTCGATGGCTACTGCTGCTGCACCTGGGGCAGAAGTCAAGGCGTCAAGTTCAAGAGGTCATCACCGACTTGCGACCGCGCTCTTTTGCTGCCAGTGCCACAGTCAACGCCGGATTGCCAACGCTGAGAGAGTCCCCGTGTAGTTTTGCGAATCCTCTTGTTGGTTTAGGGCACCACAAAGACTACAGTGGTGTACTCTCCGGCGCGGTCCATAGTTTGGTTTGCGTGGCCACAATCGCATACGACTGTGGCGCGGCGTCTTTAACACTCCATTTACGAAGGAGATGTGCGCCACAGGCCTGGTGATGTTCCGACGCCGTCGCCGATTGCTGTGACCCAGAGGTCGCAACCGGGTACCCGATACCCGTACCCTACCCGATACCCGGCTACCCGTACCCGGCCGGGTACGGGTACCCGTTTGCGACCCTGGTGCGGCCGGGTACGGGTAGGCCGTGAGTCACTGGTGAGTCACCGTTTGTCACTCATTTCGGGTAGGGTACGGGTAGGGAACGAGTGCAATAAATCTAGGAGCAAACCTGGAAAAGCAGTTTGCGAGTAGCAGCAACATCATCATCAACACCAGCTAACATCACACGCCTCGCTAAAGAGAAGCAGTTCCAGCCATCGCATTAGGGGTGAGTTAATTAAATGTTTGACCAAATTTTACAGGCTAATTTTTAAGTTGATCATTTTGTATGGCCCGCGAATGATGTTATAAATATCGAAATGGCCCTTGGCAGATAAAACATGTTCCTTCGCCCCTGGTCGAGACGTACACACGCATGGTGGACTTCTTTCGCACCGTACACGGCCAAACCCGTGCCCAACGGAGATGCGGTGGACGGACAACGCTAACTAAAAGTCTTGCTTTCAAAGTGCATTTAGCTATTACTACCCGATACCGAGAAGCTTCGTTTTTAACATTACACACACGAAGTAATTATGCGCATTAAGTCAAAGTATCGAGTATTTTAAAACATTTTAATCAGACTTTGATTTTCGGGCCTACCCAGCCCGCGGCGGCTAGTCGAGGCAGAGGCAATTTTTAGTTTTTTTTAAACTTTCTTTTTACACAACGGATATTCGCCCAACCGCGCTCGGCTGTACATCGCCCCGCGGAGCGCTCACCTCGAGGTTGAACTCGCGGCTCGGCGCTCCCAAAGCGCCGCTTTTGACGCGACGCGCTCGCGGCTCCAAGCGACAACTTAACGCCGACAAGGAGCCGTTTGGATTTCCCACTCTATATAAGTGGAGGCGCCGGGTGGGTGGGCGGGGGGAGGGGGAGGAGTTGCGGATCACGTGGGGCGCCGTTCGTCCAATCGGCGCACAGCACGCGCTTGTCCGGACTATGTATTCGGAAAGCCTTTTCGTTCCCATGGCGACGGTTACTAAACCACGTGATGGATCGTAACATCGTTGCTTTTGTTATTTTTGCTTCATAATTAGTTGAAGATCGATGCGTCACAGTTTTGCTTTTCGTAGCATGTCGTCAAATATTGTTGGAATAAAAAACGTATAATTTTAAGGCCTCAACACAGGCGTTGTTTCTCTGTGTGCCTATGTGTGTCTCTGTGTTATCTCTCTCTGCTTATGTGTCTGTCCATGTGTCTCCGTGTTTTGTCTCTCTCAAATTTAGCAACGTATATATTGTTTTTTAGCAACGTATATATTATTTTAAAATGACATCCTTCCCCCGTGTAGTACGAGTGATACATGGGTTTTAGACGAATCGGGTTGCCGGCGGGCCGGTTAGCTCAGTTGGTTAGAGCGTGGTGCTAATAACGCCAAGGTCGCGGGTTCGATCCCCGTACGGGCCACGATTATTTTTTTTTTAAGAATGTCTTATAATCACGTAGGAATAAAATATAAGAATTTTTTTTAATATAAAAAACTTTAATATTTTTTCTAAAATAAAAAAATTATAAGTAATAACATTGTTTTTAAATCACAAAGTTTCGGAAGCAACACAAGCTTCCGCTATCAGGTGGGAAAACCACAGCAAGAAATAAAATTACTGTAGTGGACAAGAGCCGTTCGTAACAAGATATTTCTTGCTGTGGTTTCCCACCTGATGACGGAAGCTTGTGTTGCTTTCGAAACGTGATTTAATTAAAATTTTTATTACTTTTAATAAAATATTTTTTTTTATAAAAAAAAGTTTTATTTATTTTATACCTACGTGACTTTACCGAAAGAACAAAAGAGTATGGAACATTGCAGTCACGAAAACTTAAGATCTAAACTAATACCACTATTCATCATTTTTAAACGATAAACAAATAGTTTTTATTTTACCAAGTAAGGCCCTCTGAGCTATAGCTTTTTTTAGAAGCTACTTTGGCCACAAATTATAGCCCAATTAAGTGGCTTATCGTGCGTAAACGTATCGCAGCCAAAGACTCTAAACGCGTGATGATGTCGATTCTGAATGTGGAGGGAAAAACCGGAGGACCCGGAGAAAAATCCACGCGACCACGGGGAGAGAGACACGCAAACTCCAAATACTGTATACAATATGGGACCTCTTTCAACATTTTTCCGGAAAGGTTAAAACCTATTATTATATTCTCATATCCAAATATACAACAGGCGTCAGCATGCCTGTCAACCCTTTATCAGTGCCCTACCTTACTACAGACCTTGTAAAACTCAACGTTCATCCTACAAAGTCACAAGGAAGAAACACAAATAGAGAAAAAAGTATGTTTCTAATAAACAAAAACATTTTAATGCATCAATTTAGATAATTGGTGTCAATGATGCTACGTACGATGCTGCTGTCTGTGATCTTGCATGCCCTCCCCACCCAGCCCCACCCCTCCCACCCCCCACCCAGCCCCACCCTCCCCACCCACCCCCTCCCCACCCTCTCCACCCAGCCCCACCCTCCCCTCAGCCCCACCCCTCCCACCCCCCACCCAGCCCCACCCTCCCCACCCAGCCCCTCCCCACCCTCTCCACCCAGCCCCACCCTCCCCACCCAGCCCCACCCCTCCCACCCCCCCACCCAGCCCCACCCTCCCCACCCAGCCCCACCCCTCCCACCCCCCACCCAGCCCCACCCTCCCCACCCAGCCCCACCCTCCCACCCCCCACCCAGCCCCACCCTCCCCACCCAGCCCTCCCCACTCTCTCCACCCAGCCCCACCCTCCCCACCCAGCCCCTCCCCACTCTCTCCACCCAGCCCCACCCTCCCCACCCAGCCCCTCCCTGCACGACGGACACAATAATCCCCTGTGGGCTGGTGTAACCAGGAGGTTCCTACCAGTAATATTTTCGTTTCATAGTCGCTGGGGGGAGCCATCTGCCCGGGTTCAAGCTGCAAAGGAATGTGGACGGCGAACGTGAAGCAGCAGCAGCATCATCATCATCAGCTGCTGCTGCTGCTGTTGACTGTCACAAGATGTGTCTGTACAACTACACACACACTGACACATTCATACACAGATAGCCTCCTCTGCCCACCCAGTGTAGCCTCGACAGACTGCTGGGGCAAGTGCTGTTAGCGAGCACCTATGAAGGCCGGCACCGTGGCACACGAGGGGGTGGGTGGCCAGCACCACGCCTGGCCGCCTTTGTCTCCCCAGTAGCAATGTTTACACACCGCACTAGGTACTCATTTTAGGCTGAGTCGATCTAGGGTAGGCCCAGGACCGGTTCAGATAATCGTCACTGATGTTGGTGGCCGTGAACGGGAATTGAACTGGGGTCGCCGGGTTCGCAGCACACTAACCACTACACGACCGTTCCCCACTCACACACACACACACACATATACACATACACACACCCACACACACATACATAATCACACACACACATACTCACACACACACACACCCCCCCCCCACACACACACACACACCTACTCACGAACACACACACATACACACACTCACACACATACATACTCACACACACAAAACACCCCACACACACATACCCACTCACACACACACACCCACACACACACATACACACACCCCCACACACACACACACACCCCCACACACACCCCCACACACACACACCCCCACACACACATACACACGAACACACACACATACACACCCCACACACACACACACATACCCCCACACACACACACCCCCACACAAACATACACACGAACACACACCCCACACACACACATACACCCCCCCCCCACACACACACATACCCCACACACACATACACACACACACACCCCCCCCACACACACACATACCCCCACACACACACACATATACCCACACACACATACCCCCCCACACACACACATACCCCCACACACACGAATATACACACATATACCCCCACACACATATACCCCCCCACACATACCCCCACACACACATACCCCCACACACACATACCCACACACACACATACCCACACACACACGAACACACACATACCCACACCCCCCCCCCTACACGCGTGGGCGTTTCCTCACGAGGGGAAGGAGTTGAGAGCGCCAGGATTGAGACTCCTGGCGCCCCGCTCCACTCCAGAGTTCATCACCACTACCACCACCACCATCACCACCATCACCACCACCTCCACCATCACCACCTACACCACCACCACCATCACCACCATCACCACCATCACCATCACCACCTCCACCACCTCCATCACCTCCATCCACCACCACCTCCATCCACCACCTCCACCACCATCACCACCTCCACCACCTCCTCCACCACCACCTCCTCCACCACCTCCATCCACCACCTCCACCACCACCACCTCCTCCATCCACCACCACCACCTCCACCACCATCACCACCTCCACCACCACCACCGCCTCCACCACCATCACCAGCTCCACCACCACCTCCTCCATCCACCACCACCACCACCTCCACCACCTCCACGTACGTAGCGCATCGCTTGCGGGGCACACAGAGACACGCACGCACACCACGCAGCTTCTCACGCACGCACACCACGCAGCTTCTCACGCACGCACACCACGCAGCTTCTCACGCACGCACACCACGCAGCTTCTCACGCACGCACACCACGCAGCTTCTCACGCACGCACACCACCCAGCTTCTCACGCACGCACACCACGCAGCTTCTCACGCACGCACACCACGCAGCTTCTCAGGCACGCACACCACGCAGCTTCTCACGCACGCACACCACGCAGCTTCTCACGCACGCACACCACGCAGCTTCTCACGCACGCACACCACGCAGCTTGGGATACGCGCTACACTACACGCACGAGATTGTGAGACACAACAGCGTGTCACGCACACACTACACACACTACACACACACTACACACACTATACACACACACTACACACACTACACACACACTACACACACACTACACACACACTACACACACTATACACACACACTACACACACTACACACACACTACACACACACCCTACACACACACACACGCACACACAGGCGCGCACACACATACACTACACACACACTACACACACACTACACATACTACACACACACTACACACACTCTACACACACACACTACACACACTCAACACACACACTCTACACACACTACACACACACCACACACACACTACACACACACCACACACACCACACACACACTACACACACTACACACACACCACACACTACACACACATACTACACACACACTACACTCACTCTACACACACACACTACACACCAGAGGTGGGACAAAGTCATTGTTATGCAAGTCCAAGTCGAGTCTGAAGTCATCAAATTCATGACTCGAGTCTGACTCGAGTCCAAGTCACATGACTCGAGTCCACACCTCAGAGGTGGGACAAAGTCATTGTTATGCAAGTCCAAGTCGAGTCTGAAGTCATCAAATTCATGACTCGAGTCTGACTCGAGTCCAAGTCACATGACTCGAGTCCACACCTCTGCTACACACACTCAACACACACACTCTACACACACTACACACACTCGCTGTGTAGTTAAAACCAGACGTACTCTGTTTCTTGTGCAGGACCACGGGCTTACAATTCGCTGGTGAGTACATCATCCAATCGTGCAATCAGCTTGCTCAGAAGTTTAAACAAATCATCCTCTCGGCGAAAAGGAGAGCGCGCTGAGGCTGAGTCCCAGCGAAGCCGTCGGCGGAAATTCCACGTTTCCATGGAAGGGGCCGGTGGTTACCGCGAGATGACCACCGGTCAACTTTTGCGCTGCACGGACAGATCGGTCGTGCGGAGTTGACGCGTGGCGGTCGACGGCTCCGCCGAGTGATGGAGCTTCTCTCTCTGAATCGAGACCGTCCACTCATTACGGGACTAGCGTTGTCATCACGTTTCAGTGTCTCATTATCCGTCGCTTTTCCATCAAAAACGATCGTCGCAAATGATAGCAGCTGATGATGAAGACGTCGTCGTCGTCGTCATCACGTGGACACTTATAGCAGCAGACGATTGCTCTAAACCAGCGGTTCTTAACTTTTACTGAAGCCTCGCAACGCTTTGTTTCTGGATCGTAATCTTGTTTTTTTACAATGTTAATAAATACACAGGGATTCATCTTCTTGGTTCTTTCGGTAAAGTCACGTAGAAGGGAAATAATAAAGTAATAAAAATAAAACGTAATAAAATGTTTCTTTCGGTAAAGTCACGTAGAAGGGAAATAATAAAGTAATAAAAATAAAACGTAATAAAAAATGTATTTAATCATAAAATTATAAAAATAAAATAAAAAAATGTATTTTTCCTATTTTATAATGAAATAAAACATAAAATATATATTTTTTTTATGTTTTATTTTTATTGTTTTATTATTTCCCTTCTACGTGACTTTACCGAAAGAACCAAGAAGAGGAATCCCTGCAGTCACGAAAGCTTTAAATCGAAATACACAGGGGTTTGATGAAACAACGCACCCGTGCTTAATGTGTGTGTGTGTTCGATGATTTACCTTCTAACAAAAAATCTGGACCGTGTCTCGCACCACCTCCAGAAAGGGCATCTCGTGGCCCCAGGGGATGCGCGATGCACCCCAGGTGGAGACGAAGCGCCGCTCGCGACGCGTGGTGTTCGTTCTAGATGTGGCGGTGGGGGGGAAACGACGCAGAACCCGGATAACAAAAACAATCCACGAGACCGTGGCAGAGAGAGAGAGAGAAAGAGACACGCAAACTCCGAATATCACAACAGGCACCATCGCGGTCGAACCAACCGAGCTCCTGTATGCCAGGCGAGGTAGTTAACATCGCCTAGCCAGCGCCGCGCCCCCAAGTGACGGTTCTGATTCTGAGGTTCTAAACAGCCCTGAGGTTCTCTGAGGTTCTAAACAGCCTTGATATTCTCTAAGGTTCTAAACAGGCCTAAGGTTCTCTGAGGTTCTAAACAGCCCTGAGGTTCTCTGAGGTTCTAAACAGCCCTGAGGTTCTCTAAGGTTCTAAACAGCCCTGAGGTTCTCTGAGGTTCTAAACAGCCCTGAGGTTCTCTGAGGTTCTAAACAGCCCTGAGGTTCTCTGAGGTTCTAAACAGCCCTGAGGTTCTCTAAGGTTCTAAACAGCCCTGAGGTTCTCTAAGGTTCTAAACAGCCCTGAGGTTCTCTGAGGTTCTAAACAGCCCTGAGGTTCTCTGAGGTTCTAAACAGCCCTGATGTTCTATAAGGTTCTAAACAGCCCTGATGTTCTATGAGGTTCTAAACAGCCCTGATGTTCTCTGAGGTTCTAAACAGCCCTGAGGTTCTCTAAGGCTCTAAACAGCCCTGATGTTCTATGAGGTTCTAAACAGCCCTGAGGTTCTCTGAGGTTCTAAACAGCCCTGAGGTTCTCTGAGGTTCTAAACAGCCCTGATGTTCTATGAGGTTCTAAACAGCCGTGATGTTCTCTGAGGTTCTAATCAGCCCTGAGGTTATCTGAGGTTCTAAACCGCCCTGAGGTTATCTGAGGTTCTAAACACCCCTGAGGTTCTCTGAGGTTCTAAACCGCCCTGAGGTTATCTGAGGTTCTAAACATCCCTGAGGTTCTCTGAGGTTCTAAACCGCCTTGAGGTTCTCTGAGGTTCTAAACAGCCCTGAGGTTCTCTGAGGTTCTAAACCGCCATGAGGTTCTCTGAGGTTCTAAACAGCCTTGAGGTTCTCTGAGGTTCTAAACAGCCTTGAGGTTATCTGAGGTTCTAAACCGCCCTGAGGTTCTCTGAGGTTCTAAACACCCCTGAGGTTCTCTGAGGTTCTAAACCGCCCTGAGGTTATCTGAGGTTCTAAACATCCCTGAGGTTCTCTGAGGTTCTAAACAGCCCTGAGGTTCTCTGAGGTTCTAAACACCCTTGAGGTTCTCTGAGGTTCTAAACACCCTTGATGTTCTCTGAGGTTCTAAACAACCCTGAGGTTCTCTGAGGTTCTAAACAGCCCTGAGGTTATCTAAGGTTCTAAACAACCCTGAGGTTCTCTGAGGATCTAAACAGCCCTGAGGTTATCTGAGGTTCTAAACAACCCTGAGGTTCTCTGAGGTTCTAAACAGCCCTGAGGTTCTTTGAGGTTCTAAACACCGCTGAGGTTCTCTGAGGTTCTAAACAGCCCTGAGGTTTTCTGAGGTTCTAAACAGCCCTGAGGTTCTCTGAGGTTCTAAACACCGCTGAGGTGCTCTGAGGTTCTAAACAGCCCTGAGGTTATCTAAGGTTCTAAACACCGCTGAGGTTCTCTGAGGTTCTAAACACCCCTGAGGTTCTATGAGGTTCTAAACAGCCCTGAGGGTCTCTGAGGTTCTAAACACCGCTGAGGTTCTCTGAGGTTCTAAACACCCTTGAGGTTCTCTGAGGTTCTAAACAGCCCTGAGGTTCTCTGAGGTTCTAAACACCGCTGAGGTTCTCTGAGGTTCTAAACAGCCCTGAGGTTCTCTGAGGTTCTAAACAGCCCTGAGTTTCTCTGAGGTTCTAAACACCGCTGAAGTTCTCTGAGGTTCTAAACAGCCCTGAGGTTATCTGAGGTTCTAAACACCGCTGAGGTTCTCTGAGGTTCTAAACACCGCTGAGGTTCTCTGAGGTTCTAAACCGCCCTGAGGTTCTCTGAGGTTCTAAACAGCCCTGAGGTTCTCTGATGTTCTAAACAGCCCTGATGTTCTCTGAGGTTCTAAACAGCCCTGAGGTTCTCTGAGGTTCTAAACAGCCCTGAGGTTCTCTGAGGTTCTAAACCGCCCTGAGGTTCTCTGAGGTTCTAAACAGCCCTGAGGTTATCTGAGGTTCTAAACACCCCTGAGGTTCTCTGAGGTTCTAAACAGCCCTGAGGTTCTCTGAGGTTCTAAACAGCCCTGAGGTTATCTGAGGTTCTAAACAGCCCTGAGGTTCTCTGAGGTTCTAAACAGCCCTGAGGTTATCTGAGGTTCTATACAGCCCTGAGGTTCTCTGAGGTTCTAAACCGCCCTGAGGTTCTCTGAGGTTCTACACAGCCCTGAGGTTCTCTGAGGTTCTAAACAGCCCTGACGTTCTCTGAGGTTCTAAACAGCCCTGAGGTTCTCTGAGGTACTCAACAGCCCTGATGTTCTCTGAGGTTCTAAACAGCCTTGAGGTTATCTGAGGTTCTAAACCGCCCTGATGTTCTCTGAGGTTCTAAACACCCCTGAGGTTCTCTGAGGTTCTAAACCGCCCTGAGGTTATCTGAGGTTCTAAACATCCCTGAGGTTCTCTGAGGTTCTAAACAGCCCTGAGGTTCTCTGAGGTTCTAAACACCCTTGAGGTTCTCTGAGGTTCTAAACACCCTTGATGTTCTCTGAGGTTCTAAACAACCCTGAGGTTCTCTGAGGTTCTAAACAGCCCTGAGGTTATCTAAGGTTCTAAACAACCCTGAGGTTCTCTGAGGTTCTAAACAGCCCTGAGGTTATCTGAGGTTCTAAACAACCCTGAGGTTCTCTGAGGTTCTAAACTGCCCTGAAGTTCTTTGAGGTTCTAAACACCGCTGAGGTTCTCTGAGGTTCTAAACAGCCCTGAGGTTTTCTGAGGTTCTAAACAGCCCTGAGGTTCTCTGAGGTTCTAAACACCACTGAGGTGCTCTGAGGTTCTAAACAGCCCTGAGGTTATCTAAGGTTCTAAACACCGCTGAGGTTCTCTGAGGTTCTAAACACCCCTGAGGTTCTCTGAGGTTCTAAACAGCCCTGAGGTTATCTGAGGTTCTAAACACCGCTGAGGTTCTCTGAGGTTCTAAACACCCTTGAGGTTCTCTGAGGTTCTAAACAGCCCTGAGGTTCTCTGAGGTTCTTAACACCGCTGAGGTTCTCTGAGGTTCTAAACAGCCCTGAGGTTCTCTGAGGTTCTAAACAGCCCTGAGTTTCTCTGAGGTTCTAAACACCGCTGAAGTTCTCTGAGGTTCTAAACAGCCCTGAGGTTATCTGAGGTTCTAAACACCGCTGAGGTTCTCTGAGGTTCTAAACACCGCTGAGGTTCTCTGAGGTTCTAAACCGCCCTGAGGTTCTCTGAGGTTCTAAACAGCCCTGAGGTTCTCTGATGTTCTAAACAGCCTTGATGTTCTCTGAGGTTCTAAACAGCCCTGAGGTTCTCTGAGGTTCTAAACAACCCTGAGATTCTCTGAGGTTCTAAACAGCCCTGAGGTTATCTAAGGTTCTAAACAACCCTGAGGTTCTCTGAGGTTCTAAACAGCCCTGAGGTTATCTGAGGTTCTAAACAACCCTGAGGTTCTCTGAGGTTCTAAACAGCCCTGAGGTTCTTTGAGGTTCTAAACACCGCTGAGGTTCTCTGAGGTTCTAAACAGCCCTGAGGTTTTCTGAGGTTCTAAACAGCCCTGAGGTTCTCTGAGGTTCTAAACACCGCTGAGGTGCTCTGAGGTTCTAAACAGCCCTGAGGTTATCTAAGGTTCTAAACACCGCTGAGGTTCTCTGAGGTTCTAAACACCCCTGAGGTTCTCTGAGGTTCTAAACAGCCCTGAGGTTCTCTGAGGTTCTAAACACCGCTGAGGTTCTCTGAGGTTCTAAACACCCTTGAGGTTCTCTGAGGTTCTAAACAGCCCTGAGGTTCTCTGAGGTTCTAAACACCGCTGAGGTTCTC